TTGCACTTCTGTCATGTTCTACCCTATACTATTCATCTTAATCCCGATAATAGTTTCTCAACGAATGACTCTATGCGAGTACTTACATCACCTGGGCAGGAGTGATCCCCACTGCCTGGAGCAGAGGAGAAGTGGTCAGTTATACGTCTTCTTGGTTGCGATTCACAATGTCATTTATTTGATTGTATTGAGCTGTGGTGAATTGAATGAATTGCAAAAATAATAAAGATTGATTTCCGCGATTGCCTGTAAGTGATTTCGGCGATTGCCTGTAAGGTGTTGTTCGGAGGCGGGGGGGGGCTTGGTAACCTCAGCGACATGCCTGTTTTTCGCCATTTGGTTGGCAGGCTGCCTGCTTTGCCAAGTTGGTGGGGAAAACGAGCATAGCACCAGCAGGCAAAGCTCTGCTTTTCCTGACACGGCCGCCAGCATCGCAGCGAACATGAGAGGTGACAGCTCTGCGTGGAGCCAAGGTAGTGGGGTGGACCCCAGTTGATAATCTTGTATGTACCAGTTCTCCGCCTGCATAAAGTTTGTGAGGTAGGTGTGCCTGGCCCATGGTTTGCAAAGGAGCGACCCGCCTCCATTATTGCCTGCCGCTTTTCGGCTGGTCTGCGGGCAGGGATAGCCGAGTGGTTAAGAGTGTAGACTCACGTTCACACCCTTAAGCCACGAGTTCAATCCCTGCCGAGGCACAAACCTGCCTTGCAAAAATTGCAAAAATGGGGACGATACCAGCGTCAGGCCCAGGTTGACAGGCCGGCTGATGGAGGAACCCGTCACAACAATCATGACAAGTCGCAATAGAATCAGTGTTAATGCTAGGACGTCACCCGGAAGTGGCGCGCAGAACCCTCGCCCGAGTTCTGTGGTCAGTATGCGAGGGCTACCGAGGGGTGAACGACCTCGGCCAAAGAAGCTAGTTCGAATTGGGACCCTGAACGTGGGGTCGCTTACCGGGAAGTCTCGTGAGGTTGCCGACCTCATGAGACGCAGGAATATCCAAGTCCTATGCCTTCAGGAAACGCGATGGAAGGGTGCGAAGGCCCGCGAGATTGGAGAAGGCGTCAAACTCTTCTACAATGGAGCAGACACCAAACGGAATGGCGTGGCCATAGCGGTGGCAGAATCCCTGAAGGACTGCGTCGCCTCTGTGAACAGAACAAGTGATCGGATCATGGCAGTGAGAATGGACACGAAGGAAGGGTACTGGACAGTACTGACCGTGTACGCACCACAATCCGGTTGCTCCGAGGCGGAAAAGGATGAGTTCTACCTGACCCTGGACGAGGCCATAAGATCGGTTCCGGAAGATGACTACCTCACCATAGCTGGGGATCTGAATGGCCATGTGGGAAATGACAGAAGAGGTCTAGAAAGGGTGCACGGAGGCCAAGGAATAGGGGCAAGGAACGCTGAGGGAGAACGGATCCTTGACCTAGCCACAGCCCACGACTTAGCAATCTGCAGCACCTTCTTCGCGAAAAGGAGGACTCAGAAGATAACCGCTACAGCAGCTGGAGGACTGACAAAGCGGAAATCGACCCCATATTGCCGTGCGTCAGAAGATCGTCTCTCAAAACCGTCAAGGATATCAAGGTACTGCCCGGGGAAGAGCTGGGCCCTCAGCACAGGCCTCTCCTGGCAGACATCGCCATAGACCTCCCCAAGAAGACGAGGGTGAGAGCGGAGCGGAGAATTCGGTGGTGGAAAATGGGCAAGGTAGAAAAGGATAGCCTTGGCAGAAAAATACTGGAGGCTGGGCTCCCAGACCCACATGGGCCAGTCCAGGACACCTGGACCTATGCAGCAGGGGTCATGCTACAGTGCGCCAAGGAAGTCCTGGGAGAGACGCGAGGTGGTATCAGAGGAGACAAGGCAGCCTGGTTCTGGAACGAGGAAGTCCAGAGGATCGTCAAGCAGAAGAAGGAAGCGTACAAACGCTGGCAGAAGACACGGACCCCAACGGTCCAGAAGACTATGCTGCCTACAAAGCTGGCAAGCGAATCTCGCGCTAAGGCGGCGGCGTTGCGAAGGCCAAGAATACGGAAATGGACGCCCTATACGAGAAGCTGGAGAGCCGAGAAGGAGACAAGTTCGTCTTCCGCCTGGCTAAAGCTCGGCATCGCGCGGCTCAGGACATCAGGGTCGTAAAGACTGTGAAGAGCATCAACGGGGCCATTCTCAGGAAACCAGCCCAGGTCAAGAAGAGGTGGGAAGAATACTTCGAGGGACTCCTGAACGAAGAATTCCCCCGCAAGGACAGCCCACACATAGAGGCGACGGCAGGTCCCATAACGCCCTGGACGAAGGATGAAGTTCGCCGGGAACTAGGGAGAATGAAAGCTGGGAAAGCAGTGGGCCCAGACGGGGTACCGATAGAGGCATGGAAGGCCCTGGGAGAGTTTGGGGTGAGTTGGCTAACAGACTTCCTAAACAATGTAACGGCTGAAGGAAGGATGCCAGATGCGTGGAGGAGCAGCACAATCGTCCCCATCTTTTGGACAGAAAGGGGACGCGACGGAATGCTCGCAACTACGCGGTCTATCAAGTTGACTCCCCATACCATGAAGTTGTACGAGCGCCTGGTCAACACTAGGCTGAGGGAACTTGTCCCTATCTCGCAGGAACAGTTCGGCTTCATGCCCGAAAGGTCCACCACAGATGCCATCTTCATCGCCAGACAGCTGATGGAGAAGTACCGAGAGAAGCGGCGACCCTGCTACCTAGCCTTCCTGGACCTTGAGAAGGCATTCGACCGTCTACCTCGACCTGTACTCTGGAGAGCGCTCAGAGAACGTAAAGTTCCGGAGCACCTGGTCTCCATAGTGAAGGATATGTATGATGGGGCTAAAGCAGCTGTACGCACCCCGCACGGCTTGACGAAGGAGGTAAACATCACGGTTGGGGTACACCAAGGATCAGCCCTCAAGACCCCGTTCCTCTTCCTACTGACTCTGGATGTCATGGCAAAAGAACTCATGGAGGGACCACTGAAAACCATCCTCTACGCTGACGACATCGCCCTGATAGCGGACAGCAGGGAGGAACTCCAGGACAAGGTGCAGCGGTGGCAGGATGTGCTCGCTGAGAATGGACTCCGGCTGAACGTAAAGAAAACCAAGTTCCTGAGCTCCGAAGAGTGTACCGAACCCATCGTAGACCGTCACGGCGAGAGCATCGAAAGGGTCGAGGACTTTCCAGTACCTGGGGAGCGACCTAGCAGCTGATGGCAGCGTGGACCAGGCGGTGAAGGCCCGAATCAACGCAGCCTGGATGAAATGGAGGGAGTCCACTGGCATCCTGTGCGACCGGCGGTGCTCGAGAACGCTCAAGGGCAAGGTGTACCGAGCCGTGGTAAGACCTACAATGCTCTACGGCAGTGAGTGCTGGCCCATCTGCAGGAGCCATGAAAGGCAGCTCCACTCAGCTGAAATGAGGATGCTGAGATGGGCCTGCGGCTGGACACGACTCGACAGAGTCAGAAACGAGGACGTCAGGGCGGTCACACAGACGCTCCGATCCAGCTGAAGGCACGAGAGCAACGACTGCGATGGTATGGGCACGTGCTGAGAAGGTCTAAGGACCACCCAATAAGGAAGGCATTGGAATTCGAAGCAGAGGGTAAGCGACCACGAGGAGCCCCAAAGAAAAGATGGAGGGACGTCATCAAGAAGGACCTCACTGAAGTGAAAGCCAGGCAGAAGATGCAGTGGATCGGAACAAGTGGCGACGTCTAACAAGAACAGCGGACCCTGCGACGGCGCGGACTCGAACGCCTTAGGAGAAGAGAAGAAGAAAGAAAGTTCGCTGGGTCCTGGCATGCTCTTTCGCTGGCCCTTTCTGGTCTCTGCGGCTCGGAAGTCCAAATAAACTCTCTACATCTCACTCGCACCACCTTGAGTCCGTAATTAAGGGCTTCTAAGGGCTTTTCTCTGGCTCTTTGTTTACAGTCAAGTCAACCTCATGCATTTCTGCTTTTCGACCTTGCAAAATACGGCGTTTTTCGACGAGTGGCGATAAAATGTGCATTTAGCTCTGACAGACAGTGTTTCCGTTTTTAGCTCGGCAAAAACAGGGCAAATAGTTGCACTTAGATTTTTGTCTGTTCCAGCTCCTTCTGTAGCCCGAGCATGAAGATCGAACTCATCGAGAACTCGCCTTTTTGGCAGTACTCTATGAAATTTCACTATTGTTTTTCCTAGTGGGGTGAGTTTGCGGGATTCTTTGTCGGAGCCGGGATAAATAGGGCAAGCAGATAGATGCGAAGCGGAATTCTTTCATAGGCTGAAGGCGGAATGTGAAGGAGGGTGGTTGGGTTGCCCCACCATTTGTATGAGAATACCCTCTTTCCTATTGCATAGGACAGCCCGCCCTGCACCAGTACAATATTTACTCAGAGCGTGTCTTATAAAGTAAAGAATAAAAAGAAAGAAAAGTGTCTAGATGAAAAGCAGTTAGTACTACAAGAATGCTGAATTATGGGTAAAATTCAACTACGCGGGACTCGAGACCGGCACCTCACGCTTTCCGTGGGGGCGAGTGCGCTATTTGTTACGTCACCAATCAATTAGACTGTTTTTGCAGTACTACTTGTGGGAAGTAACCATAACATTCCAGGTTTCGCTACCACAGAAGGCAGCCGTCTTGCGAAAAATGATTTCGATATTGGAGGAAAGGGAAGCTCGTCGCAAGGCAATCACGTTCAGGGCAAGTCGATATGCGCTGTGCACTACGCGAGTGTATAAGGTACTTGAATTGGTGATCACAAGGGAAAGGAATAGGTCAGAAGGTTTGATTTCAGGACTGCCGAGAGGACAAATCGTCATGCGAATCGGGTTATAGCTGTCTTTCTGGCGACGATGATGGACGATGTTGTATAAGTACGACCGCCAATGTGCTGCGCCGAAGAGCGCAGGTGGTTATCACTAACGTTCCTGGCAACACACAGCCTCAACTTATTCTTCAGTAACCCATCTGCTTGTCCACCTGTCAAATCAATGGGATTTACATGCGGTTATGGAAGGAAGAGAACAGTGACTAACTGGTGCCGGAGGAACTCGGACTGTGCTGCCGGTTCAGTACAGCTGTGCTGTGATACAGGTTGGACCATCCTAAATCCTCGATTTACAATACTTTTACTTTTCTATTGTTGATATCTACTATCACTCTCATTAATTAATAGTTGTGAGATAGATTGGAAGGCGCTCATTCTCATACACGTTGGTTGGTAATTTATTGAATTGATGCACTCGTTTGTACTTACTACAATGTTTTTAAAAGGCGTTGAAAGAATCGGCTGAGCAGCTAACTTGACAACACACTCCCGCCGCTACGCTACTCGGAGTTCGGGCAAGCCACTGCGCAAAATTCCTCACAATGGAGTAGATTTGCTAGAATTCTGTCTAAATAGTTTTAATATCACGCCTGCTAGGTTTACAACCGCCTGAGATCTGCACCACGGCGCGCGGCGCCAAATTACTTTGAAACACCAAATTAATTTCATACGGTACCCTTTCCCCAGGGGTATTTGGTATATGCCCCTGCGCTTCGTAAGAACTTTGCAAGGCACGCATTGGGCACCTGCACCAAAGGTGCCTGTGGCCAAAGCTACTTGTAACGTGCGGACGCTACTCCAAGTTGACGAGTTTTGCGCCTTTCTTTCCTTGATATTCGAAGCTCAGATGCTTTTTTCTCTTTCATTTTATTTGCAGGCTGATGTTCTTGGCAAGCTCTGATCAAAGAAAAAACTCCCATTGAAGTGCAGAATTAACTTTAAGAAGCGGCAGTAGGAGGTAAGAAAGTGCCGGAAGTTCCTCACCGGAGCACCACATTCAGACCAGGCGTTTATAAAGTAATGCTTAAGAACTACGTAGTTAAAGCAAATTCCGGATCAAAATGGTAGAAGCGCAGCTAGTTGTTATATTTGTGTTGTGTCACTTCTCGTTTTTTACCGCCCCTCTTAACGTGACTTCCCTGTGACTTCTGTATCTTTTCCAGGCTGCGGCTACAACGTCTGCCTTCCTCCTACAGGCCATGTGATCGACAATGGTGAGCAATGAAAATGCTAAAGCTTTTGCCGCAAATATGACCCTTGTGGCATGTGGCACGCATTCTATTATACTTCCATCCAGAACTGTGGGGTCTTTGAAATGCGACAATGACTACAGTGGCTTGCGGGAACAGATCAGTGCCTTATCCCTTAGGACTGTGGTAGAAAGTTACCGTCTTCTGAAGTTAGGAGGCTTGGTTGTCCTGTGCGAGAGCGAATCCGGAATTCGATCCTTAGGCCGCGCTCGTGGTATGCTTACCTCCGCACTACACCTCCTTCGTCTCAAGCCTCGTAAAATGTGCTGGATTTGTCCTATGTATGTCCGCATGCATAGTAAGGTTCCACACAGTAATCTGCATTAGTGACCATGGTTCATACAGAAGTTTGCCACATGACTCTTGGTCGGCCAATTACATCAATACATAGAACTAGCATAAAGAGAAAACTGCTCACGGGACGTGAGGCCACATGAAACACTGAGGTTCCTCTAAGGGTGGCTGCAAAAGGAACACACAGTGAAAATCATCCGCTATTTCCAATGAATTTTTCAGCTCCTTTGCCTGCAGAGTAATTGAATAAAAGCGCACATGCCTAGTTTCCCGCGAAAAAAGGGGCAGAAACTGAAGCTTTCGCTTTTGCTTTTGCTCCCATCCAGGATCGTGGTGAGATCTGAATGTGTCCCATGTTCTGGGCAGCAAAGAGCACTTATTTCCTTGGTCGCGAAATGTTGCTAAGCACAGCAACGGATTTTTTTGAATTTCAGCATATTCTGGTCTCCATGTACCTTTGATGGCGCTCCTTATTCAAACTAAATCCTTCCCATAGACAAAATATGCGCCACAAAATTATCACTTTAAAATTCTTCTACAGGGACAGCATGGCTGTGTTTTCATGGTCTGGATTCTCCTTACCATCAGGCTTCAAAATTTCATTGAAAATATTTAGGCATTCGGTCGATCGAGAACGATCGATGTCCACCCATGGCGATGATGAAAATGAAATGTCGAGAGAATAGGCGTCGTAACATCAACTGGTGCAACACCGACCGCGAATGTCTGGTAGGCATTCAGTTTTTTTTTGTGAATTCTGACTATGTCCCTGATATTTAACATTTTTTGGCACTGTTCGGCTTAGGTGGGGGCAAAAAATGGCAACTGCGACACAAGCTTTCTGACTATGTCGATATTTAACATTTTTTGGCACTGTTCGGCTTAGTGGGGGCAAAAAATGGTACTCGGCAAGCTTATACAGGCAGTCCTTGTAAAGACCTGTAAATTCCTGTGACAGAAGTCCATCGGTCCAAGCGACTAGAGATCTATGTTTCAAACTGCAAAGTGCCCCTCGAAGCCGAACAGCACACAAATTTTCGGTAGATTTCTTCTCTTCCAAAGCTTTTCCCATTTTCAGATGTTGTTAGATTCCAATGTACCGCAGTCGTGCTGTCCCACGCCATGTGGCTACAATGCATGTGTCGCTAACAACGGTTACCAACTTGCCTTCGGATAATATTTTTTTCTTTTTCGTGAATAAACGGTTCCATTTCTGAGAAAAAATCCCGCAAGGGGTCGATGAGTCGTCGACAAGATCGCTCGTGGTCGACGAGGAACAATAGTGTCGATGTTTGCGTATAGTATCGGTCGCATGGCTCTATTCACACCGGAACCAGAAGACGACGATCTTTTCCTCAGAACGGTGACCAATGGTCTTTCTAAAGACCAGCTGCACAAACGGCTATCTTGGCGAAAAAAAACAATGAGAAAAAGAGCAGAAGAAGGAAGAAAAGAAGAAGAAAAAAGAGAATAAATGGGAGCCATCTATTTTGGAGTGCAGTGACCGACTTCTTGAAATTTGGTGGTAGTAGTATTAGTAATAGTACTTATTATAATAGCAATTCTACCAATAATAACTCAGCCTACTCACCTAACTAAACCCCAGGCACAGCCCCTAAATGCACTGCACACAACCACTTGAAAGGTAGCGTCGTTCCTGGCAAGTGATCGCGTCCACAATAGGGTAAGAGGAGCCTAGCAAGCCTCTTGGCCAAGTCCCCTAGCCACACCGGGTTATTTCGGCTTGTCCGAGATCATTGGCGCCTACCTTGGACATGAATGTTGAACCTAGAATAGATTTACCAGTTGTTCTATGAGTTGCTCCTTCCGGTGGGCCGTGGCTGTTACAGTGCAGTGATTTAAGAAGTTCAATATTTAAACAGAAGGACGCTAAAACAAGTTGCTTTTACTGGCTCTAAGTTCACGAGTCGCCCATGGAAGAGAAATGCTGACGAGTAGATCAGTTTGTCGGGGGGGGGGGGCATTCTGCTTTCCATAGATGTGCCGACCCATCTAGGTAGCCTTTTCTCGAGTTGACACGTTTTAGGATGGTGGCTAGACGATCTTGCACCAGCTTCACAAGTTTTACCAGGGTGAGATTTGTAAACCGGAACTAGGGAAGCAATGGTAGTACAAAATGCCCCCCCCCCGTCGACAAACAGCGCCCTGGCGAGTAGACCTCTCGGGAGCCTTGCTCTCCAATCTGAGCATTGTCTAGCCTCCCTCTTTCCTCCCAGTTAGTTCCTGATTCTGTAGGTGTTCCGTGGCGTGATAACTCTCGTAGCAAGATGATTCCAGATCTCAATGTTTGCTGAGTGGTGTTAACAGTGAACAGGAAATAGTCCTTCCGAGATGAGGATGTCCAGTAAAACAACAAGAACAGAACAAAAAGTGCAGGAAAGTGGAATTGCCACTGATGAGAACTAGTTTCCCATTCATTTTGCACACTTAGCATCACCGTCGATGAGCTCTTCAAATACCTTTTCGCTGGCTAC